ATATATTTTTTAAAACTAAAACAATTGTCACCTAATTTAAGAAAAGAAAAATTTTTACTTTTAAATAAAAATATAACAAAATTTATATTTTTATATGTTTTTTTTTTATGGTATATGTACTGTATTAGTTTTTTTCTTTAAAAAAAAGGGCAATTGAGCTATGGTTTTGGAGTTTGGGAAATTAGTTAGTGGAGAATATTTTGATGAGATTATTCTGGGGAATTGAGCTTGTCAGGACCGAGCTACTCTTTTTCTACACACCATACATACGGAATGAGCACTCTAGTCTTGTCCTCAATCATGGCTCATGCCTAAGCAAGGGACAAATAGTCCAAGCATGGAATTTTCCTAATGATTGTCCAAGAAAACCGAGGACTAGAAAACCCCCCCTGGAAAAATACATCTCCTTGAAGCAATTAAAGATATGTTTGTAATTAGTACCCATGTTGAAATTTTTCCTTGGTCCCTAAAAACCATAGATAAGGACGTACCATGAATTACCTACATAGCTAATCCAGCAATCCGCTATTTCAATGTGGTGGTGGTGGTTGATCAGCTTGAATTTTGACTTTAAAAAGGAATGTGGAACATTGACAAGGCTATGACTCAGCAGTAACCAGACTAGGCCAGCCCCAAACAAAGATTTTGTTTCTAGTGAGAATTAAGGTTGAAGTTGAGGACAAAGAAGGTGAAGACAATCATAATTCAATTTGGTTATTTAGAGAAATTCTGCAATATACAAGATATGCGTACTAAATTTTTTTATCGGTGGATTGTTTAATTTTTATTGATTAATTTACCACTATATACCTCTATGACACGAAAGATATTTTTCAAGATTTTTGGTACAATAATCATTATCATGAGAAACAAAATTTGGGCAGAGTGTTGTTAGCTATTACTATTATATGACTGATGTATGGGATAATGCAATGGTATGGTATAGAAAAGGAAAAAGTTGTGGGAATTTTGGCAGGTTTTGGAGAGGGATTAGGAGGCAAGGAACGTGAATGGTGATGGTGGGTTTGATGATGTTGATGCACGCCGGCAGCTTTTTTGTTGCTCTCTCTCTCAATCTTTCCCTCCCCAAAACCCAATTAGCACGCCTGCTCCCACTAAAACCTATGACTTTCTCTCTCTTTGAACGCAAAAGCTAAAACCCCACTAAACCCTTTGGTGATATCGACCTTGTTATCTTTTTCTCTTTCCCTTTCACCTTTCTTAGCCTCCCCCACCCTCCCCCGAAAAAACCCCATTTAGTCAGTTGCCTCATGGAATTTTAAAAACCACATGTAATAGCATACCACATCAAACGTATTCCCCACCAATAAAAAGTAAACACATTAAGTTTTTTTACCTTTCCCATTAATTCTAGCAAATTAAGTTTAACAAAATCTTCATTTAACAATTCCTATTTAATTTTCTACTGTTATAACAATAGTCACTCCCATCTTTCTTCTTTACCCACCGGAACTCAATATTTCTTGATGTGGGTTAAATGGATACCTTGTTTAGGCTGGTGAGTCTTCAATCTGATAATTCCATCAATTCTAGCAGGACCTCCAGCAGCTCAAGATCGTCCAGACAAAACCATCACTACCAACAAGACGAAGAAGAATGCTTCAACCTTTTCATGGATGAAGAAGACTTCTCCTCGTCTTCTTCTAGGCAATACTATCCTTATCACCAGCCCCACCCTTCCACCACCAGCACCACCACCCCCACGACCACCAGCACCAGCACCCCCACCCCCACCACAACCCATCAACATGGTTTTGAGCCCACTGACTTCTCCTTCTCCCCTGCTCATGACCTCAACTTCGATTTCTCCGGTCAGTGGGCCACCGATATCCTCCTTGAGACCGCACGTGCCATAGCAGATCGGAACAGCGCACGTGTCCAGCAACTCATGTGGATGCTCAACGAGCTGAGTTCCCCCTATGGTGACACGGACCAAAAGCTGGCGTCCTATTTTCTCCAAGCCTTGTTTAGCCGGATGACTGACAAAGGCGAGCGATGCTACCGGACTTTAGTATCCGCCTCGGATAAAACATGTTCCTTCGATTCCACCCGAAAAATGGTGTTGAAGTTCCAAGAGGTGAGTCCATGGACTACTTTTGGTCATGTAGCTTGTAATGGTGCAATTATGGAAGCATTTGAAGGGGAAACCAAGTTGCACATAATTGATTTTAGCAACACATATTGCACTCAGTGGCCGACCTTGCTAGAAGCCTTAGCCACCCGGACAGACGAAACGCCCCACCTCAGGCTAACCACAGTCATGTCCGGAAAATCTAACGGTAGTTCGGGCGGAGCCGGAGGCTTGGCGGCTGTCCAAAAGGTAATGAAAGAAATTGGTTCCAGGATGGAAAAATTCGCAAGGCTTATGGGAGTACCATTCAAATTCAATGTCATACATCATGCCGGTGATTTATGTGACCTAAATTTAGCTGAACTTGACATCAAAGACGACGAGGCTCTTGCTATCAACTGCGTGGGGGCGTTGCACACGATCACCGCCGTTGACAACCGTAGAGATGTTCTTCTATCGAGTTTTAGAAGACTGCATCCGAGGATAATCACAGTGGTGGAAGAAGAAGCTGATCTTGACGTCGGCGTCGACGGGCTCGAGTTCGTGAAGGGCTTCCAAGAATGCGTACGGTGGTTTAGGGTTTATTTTGAGGCTCTAGATGAGAGTTTCCCAAGAACTAGCAATGAACGGTTGATGCTGGACCGGGCGGCAGGGAGAGCGATTGTTGACCTTGTGGCATGTCCACCGTCGGAGTCCATCGAGCAGCGGGAGTCAGCCACGCGCTGGACAAGGCGGTTGCATGCTGGTGGGTTTAGCCGGGTGGTGTTCAGTGATGAGGTGTGCGATGATGTACGCGCCTTGTTGAGGAGGTATAGGGAGGGATGGTCAATGGCACAGTGCCCCGATGCCGGAATATTCTTGTTGTGGAAGGAGCAGCCGGTTGTGTGGGCGAGCGCATGGAGGCCGGGATGAATGGGTTTGGATGAGAAGTGATTGATCACACGTGCGTTATGTTTTTTCCCGTACGTGCAAACTAGTGGTGATATGTTTGGGGTGTGTTTGGAGGAAATTAAATTTGCTTGGATTTGAATAGGATTGCAAGTAAAATTGATTTCCATTAATCTTTTTTAATCGTCATTTGTGATTTATTATTATTATTATTATTATTATTGATTTTAATTTTATGGAAGGAAGTCATGGTTTTTGACAATGATATTTGAAGGTTTAAGCTTAGTTTTCAAGTCTTTTCTATCTACTTATATTTTATTGAAATTTATATATTTTTTTTAAAAAATTATATTTCATTAACATACTTACAATTTGAATCTAAAATATATCTTATTTTTACTGGAAGGAGCTTATTATTTAGTTGCAGTTGCCAACTTCTTCAACCTGTCTATGGTCAGTTCCATCAATTATATGTATGGTCCTACAAAAATAAAGCAAATTAAGGGTACTAAAATTCATTTGAATGGTGTTGAAGTACTTTGATCATTAGGGTAGATTACATAATGGTTGGTGTGGCAAATATAAATATTCATTAATCATAATTAATTGCTCTAATCGCGTAAACTAAAAAAGGACCGACCCCAAATTGTGATCTGTTGGGGTTGGTAAATAATTTTAATAAGAACAATTACTGGTTTATTTATTGATTTAATTAATACATTTTATAACATATTTATTAAAAATTTATTATTTTTAAATTTAAAATTTAAAATAAAAAATTTATTTATAAAATTTAATAATTAAACTAATAAACATTAATAAATATATTAAATTAAAATATATATCAATTATTACCCTTTCAATAAAGAAAAAGGTATTAAACTTAAAAAGACTCCACATGCATCTAAAGAAAATTGGTAAAGGTCGTTATCTAGTTTGGGGAATCTTAGGACGGCAATTGGGGTTGGGGAATCTTATAAAAAGCTGTTTAGTCATTAGTGGCACAAGGGACTTAGTGGCCAGCACGATCTTACCTTTCATTCTTCTTCTCCCCACATTTTTTCCATACATTTTGTGTTTTCTATTTCAGCTTAAGAGTGAAAATAATTAGATAAGGAATTGTCTCGTGTCCCGTAGTTTAAACTGTAATTAAATTATTATGTTTTTCTTTTCATTCAATAGAAAGAAAGTGAAAGGCCCAATGGAGGGCCCCAACCTTAACCTCTCCATCACTGTCCTTTAAAAACCCCAAATGGTACTTGCTTTTTGGCCCGTGCATGGAAGGGGCAGAAATTTTTTTCTTTTTAAAATAATAATACTAGTGATAATTGTGTAGTGGGAACTCCTTTTTAGAGTTTCCATCTTAATCTTTTGACGAGGCTTGCCCCCTCTTCCTTAACATACCCACTTTCTCTTTTCATATTCTTTTTGAAACCTTTTTTTCTTTTTCTTAATGTAATAGTATCTTATGATGTCTAAAATCTGTGTATCTCGTTGTGTTTGTTTTAGGTTAAGAAAAGAGAAAGTAAGGCTATTCTTCCATTGGGTTGCTTTAATTTCTTTAATTGATGATGAATAACTAGGTTATATAAAATGCCGTTCCAAAGAGAAGGCTAAGTTATATGTTAAATTTTTTTATTTAGCAATTATATGATATTATAAGTCAGTTTTTGCATAGCATGAATGTTAGAAAAAAAGTTGAAATAAGGGACATATTAGAGAAAAGCTCAATGAATAAAGGCAGGGTCATTCCTTTTCTTGTGGCTTTTTATGGATATGTTGTTTCATTGTTCTTTTCTCTTCTTTATATATGTGTGTCGAATAAATTAAGTAAAGAATCAATGCCCCCTTGTGTTTGTGCATGTAGTCCCCACTCTCCATCTCCAAGAGCCTTTTGATCATGTCAAAGGTTTGTTTAATTAGCTCAAAGGGGTCAAGTTCATAGCTCTTTCCTTTTTCCTTTTTCCTTTTCAAATACTATTAATCTAATAAAAAATAAGTCATTTATACGTAAAAATAACATATTCACAAAAAATTACCTCTTTTACTATGTGCTTCTTAATTACTGTTCTTTAATCAAAATAAAAGCTATGATTTTAATAGGCTAAGCATAAAACTTACAACTGTGAGCAACCGAGGCAAAAGGCAAAATGGGAGCATGGGACAGAACCCACCACATATGGTACGATTGATGTACCTAACTTTGGGGATGTAGGCCGCAGGGGACCAACCTTATCACACTGTCTCAACGCAATCATGGTCCAAACTCACTGTCAAATGTAAACAAAATGTTTTCACAATGCAAGATGCTCAGATTTATATGTGATCTCAGCCACATAGACATGATCCTTTTAATTCCTGGGCTACATGATACAATAGTTGGTTCAATTAACAGTTGAGGATAACTGAGCTTAAAGTATACTTTCAAAACATCATAAGATATATTTTTAAGTATTAGAAAACAATTAACTGGGCTGTTATATGTACAATAATAATGAAACAGAATTTAACCTTTAACCTTAGTGAGGAAGATGTTAAAGAGGTAGGAACACTGAAAACTTCCTGCTCCTCACATGATAGCACTTCATGTGCCCCTGCTTCTTCTCTACCAACCCCCATGAGGTCAAGGTAATACAGGTAATGGGAGATCATGTTGTTCATTAATTCGGTATTACCATACTTCCCACACACTTGATCTCCATACAAAACATTCATGGCGGTTCCAAACCCAACTACCCTCTTGGCTAGAGTGTCATTCTTGGTGGGCTTCCAGCTCCCGACGAAAGCGTCGTGGGCTGAAGGCAGTAGCTTCTTCCTTGGGGTCATCCACCGCCAGATTGCAGCCTGGAAGGCTAAAGTGGCATTGTCTTCTATGTATTCTGGATGGTCCAATAGGTCCACATGCAGGGCCTCCCCTGTTTCTCCATAGTTGTAGTTCCTGTGATCAAGGCAGCAATGGAACACAAAATTGATTGAGATTGGATTCTAGATAGAAAATTAACTAATTCTTCCTTTTCTCATTGATATTGAACTGAATTGATATGTGTAAATTACCAATAGATGGGCAGGGCACCGCGACCGTGGTATGAAACTCCAGGGGTGCAGGGATATATGAGTTTGTAATAGTCATCGCAATATATTTTGCTGGGGCTCAATTCCTTGTTGTAGCATAAACCCCAGGACAATGGTCCTCCTGTTGCCACCCCATAGCCACCTGAAATTGTAAATGTAGCACTTTATGTTACATGGACTACCAGGATGACATCAAGGTTTATGTAATTCTTAAACTCAAGTTGTTAGTGAAGATGATATTAACATTTGTACACCATTTATAATAACACTTTTTCTTTGATCTTGTGATTTAGGTGTTAAAATTTATTTATAAAATATAATAAGGTACTTAAATCCACCTCCAAAAGTATAGTGGCAGGGATGGATTCTCCCCAAACAAAAAAAAGAAACAAATCCACCTATAAAATTTTTTATTTAGATAAATTACCTTAAATTTAAAATATAATGTTTTCTGACGTCAATAATTTATTAATTTGTTATATCGCTAATAAGTTTATTATTAACGGATTGCTGACGTTAAATGACGTCATACATTAAATTTAGGGTGATTTGTACAAATAAAAAACCTTATGGGTGGATTTATCCCTTTTTTTTGTTCGGAAATGGATCATCCCTATCACTATACTTTGATGATGGATTTGGGTATTTTGCCATAAAATAAAACAAGAGAATGTTGTAGTGTATTCTACACAAAATGGATTGCATTTCAATTTTTCAATAAAATAATATTTGATCAAATCTTAAAGGGGTGATTTAACTAATTAAAAACTTAAGATTTTGAATTTAGATTTTGAATCAAATAGGGATAGATTTAGAAAAAGGAAAAACTATCCCTTCTTACATAACTCATGATGTACATTAAAAAAAAAAAAATTTTGTGTATGGCCAAAAAGAAAAATAAACCAGAAGTTAGAAAACCATAGATTTCTGTTGACTTACATGAGGTTTTGCTGCCCACAATGCCAAGAAACGCTGCCACTTCCTTCATTCCCATTAGCTTCCCTCCAGCGGTTCCAAACCCGAGAGGCTCATAAAGGGCGGCAGCAGTGATAAAAGAGCGGTAATCCCAGAAGCCAACGGCATGAGCCACAGGCGAATTCCGCTTTGAAAAAAGGTTCTCAAATTGGTAAGCTTGGAAAAAGTCAGAAATGGTATCGTTGCAGCAATATATCGACCAACCTTTGCACTCCCACCCTTGGTCACACAACTTCTTGCCCTTCACTATCTTCACAAACGGCTTCACCGATTCATCCCCGTTCACCAGCGCCACCAGCATCACCACCATTGTCAAATGCAGAAGCCATTTGGCTGCCATTTTGGTAAGGATTTTCCTTTTCCTTGGATGTTGTTGGAAGAAAAGAGTGTATATAAATTGTGAAGTCTGTAAGGCTGAAGTTTTTGGAGTGAAAGGCAGAGAAAGTGAATGTCTAACTAATTAGGAGGAGGGGATTTTTCAGAGGCTGATGAGTGGTAACAAATTTTGCTTGTTCTTTATTCTTCTTAGGGTGCAAGGAAAGTAAGGATTGAAAAGGAATCAACCTCTTTTACAACAAGGTGTGTCCTGAGTGAAGCATTAAGTCAAACAAATGACTTTCATAAGATAAAAATCTCTGTCACTGCTCTTTCTGTATAACATTGTGGTTTGTGATCGAAGTGTGGGAACCATAGGTGAGGAATGATCGATAAAATTTATCAGAAAATCATTCATTTGAACAAGACAGTTATTATCAAGAAGCAACTATTAACATCAACTCTTCATTTTCCAATATATTAATATCATAGAAACAAAGACGTGATTAAGTGCACTGGTAGAGAGCCTAGGACTGAAATTGTACAGCAATTCATTCTGTTGTCTGGGCAAAAAAGTGGTATGCAAATCGCAGGGACAACAAAGGAAACCAATGGGGAAAAAAATTGAGGAGCCTTAACATATGATACACTATTAACTATGTTAGAAAAGTAATAACACCCTGCATTACTGCAATGCTCTCCATCTTGAGGGAAGCCTCCACTTCTTATGCCAATAAATTGACACCCTTGACCATAATGGGAATCCAAAATTGAATTCAAGAGGCCGGTCTGCAGGGCCTCCTACTATCATAGGTAACCATATGTATCTTGAGTCCCTCAAGTCAGCTGGATTCCACCGATCTGCCATGAAGATAAATGAACCTGGAAATCCTGGCAAAGGAATAACGTAGGTACTCTGTGCAAAAAATGTTGTGAGCCTAAACATCTTGTTTCCTCCTATGCAAGGGTTTCCCAGTGTCTCCCATGGCCCCATAATTGACTCAGCTGCATGTGCCAGGGCTTCATTTGGGGCCCAGCCAGTGCACCCTGATGTGATCATGTAGTAAGTTCCCCGATACTTAAATAGTGCTGGGGCTTCCCTGTGCTGCCCAACAAGAATCCTTCTCATGATTGGTGTCACATCCAAATAATCTTCAGTCAGTGGTCCAATGTGAAGTTCACTATTGTCTTCAGAGGAATATATGAGATAGGCTACACCATCATCGTCTTTGAAGATTGTCATGTCCCTGCCCTCAAATCCATGGGGCCTTGTGCTATGGAGATAATCAAAGGGACCTGTTGGGTAATCACTGATGGCAATGCCAACAGAAGCCTTAGTGTAGTTGGTGTCATCAATATGCATCCACATTACATATTTCCCTGTCTTCTCATTGTAAATCACTTTGGGCCGCTCAAGCACATTGGATTTATGCAGATCATGGGTTTCATTTGTCTCTTCTGCAGGCAGGACAAGACCCTCGTTTTTCCATGTCCATAAGTCATTGGAGGAATAACAGCCAACACCTATGATGTCAACCTGAACACAAGGCAATCTAGCAATTTAGTGAAAAATGTTTTGAAACTAAAGTTACATATGCAACCAAATGAAAAAACTAATCATATTTAAGAAAACAAACGGAAGATAATGACAGGAAAGTAAAAGGCACTGTAATGGCAAAGCTTGGCCTGGTAATAACTAATGACTTCCAAGATTCTTCATCCCCCAAGCCCCCAAGGGAGCCTCCAAAATGTAGAGAAAAAAGAAAAAAGAAAAAACAATAAGGAATAAATGCAGTTTTTATGTCATAAAAGATGCCTCAAGAAATGTACCCTACACAGGCCACTCTCGTCAGTCCATAACATCATGCAACCTCGATTTGTAATGACAGTACAGTGCTTATTTCAGAAAAATATGAACAATACATATTCACACCCTCTTACAAGAAATGTGACAAAGAATGCTTCTCTTGCAGCATTCAAGCTTCTATGTAGCAATTTATCAACATGTCAAATCTATCTCATAAAATGCTTATGCCCCATTCCCCAAAGAAGAGACAGGAATGTGTATGTCATACAATCCCTCTCGAACTCTGCAAAATTCTACTCTATCACCCAAGTTTTCAGCTCTTGGATGTAGGAAAAAATGATAGACACATCCACATGACAAACTTAAGCTGAAGGTGGAACACATATTATCTAAGGTTAAGTTGATAGGAAAATTTTGTAACACAAGACACTGAAATTAGTCTCAGTTAACATAGACAGCACACTATCACCTGCTCAAGCCAAATCAAAGTGCACTACAGCACTAACATGTTATGTTATACTTTATATGCAAACTTCATCTCTCCCTCTTCGCTAAATTGTAATCACTAAGCAACAACATAATAAGTAAGAAAAGATAAAAACATGTGTAATAAATTAAACAGTGTGGAAACATGGTGATCTAAAAGATAAAGGTATAGGTTAAAAGCTACCTTGGGTAGCTTTTCCAAAACACTAATGGTTGATGATCTAACTGCTATCACCAAAAAGCTTATTACTTATATGGTACTGAAGCACTGTGTCAAATGAGGCCTTAGCCTAACTGTCTCCATCTTTCATGTACAAGGACACTCCATCGCTTAAAAATCCTTTGACTATCTTAAAACCCTAACCACCAAATAACCATCCAAACATATTTTCCTAACAGAAAGAACGGAAAACTCCTATTGATTTGATGCTGTAACAGAGTTCTGGAAACATATTTTTGCTCATAGTAATAAGCAGGGATAAACTTGCACCCTTCTTCTACCATGTAAGTCCCTAACCCTAAATCCTTTTTCTTCTTTTCTTATACTAGTGTTTGTACATATGACTAGAATCAGCTACGTGATAATACCATATACCAGCTTATATAGAGAAGAGTACTAAACAGAAAAGCTAGCAAATACACAGACCTACTTAGATTGGTTAGGTTATGAATCCAAGATAAAGTTTCAAATAAGTAGCTTACCCGTGCTGCTCCCTTTTTATGAGCATGGTAGGTAGGTCCATCTTTATACTCTCCATACCAATAGTATGTACCAGATCTTTCATCATGAAGGATACCACCTCCATGAGCTTGAATGGGATTTCCCTCAGTGTCTAACCAAATTCTCCCAGGATAATAGTAGAAGGTGTCATTTCTTGCATCCTTCATTGGATCTATAGCAGTTTTCATACCAGGAAAGAAAACATGGCGAAGTTGGGAATTCTCATCAAGAAATTCATCAATTAGAGTGGTTGTTCTCTTAGGTCTCCTTTTAGCAGCACGCGGAGATCGCCTTCCCCTTGGAGGGGGAATTTGAATATTCTCCTCCTCTACCTGTTCAAGTTCACGTACTAGCGGATGATGCCTCATATGCAATCGGATCTCTCCAGCCACCTCATCATTGTGACTAACAAGAGAGTATAAATGAAGCATTAGGAGAAACCCCACCAAGCTCCAGACTACAACAGACCCTGAACGTCTGCTTCCAGCATTACAACATAAAGGGGTTGATTTCCTATATTGGTTCCTCACCCTCATATTCTCTTTCTTTCTATCTCCAAGATAATCCAGCGCTTAAGAAAATGCAACCTATTGGAGAGCCAATAAATTGCACCAAGTCACATTCATGAAAATTCCACAGAACAAGAAACTTCAGAGGAATACCAAGATTAAAAAAAATTAGACTAGGAAGTTGACTGTAAGTTTGTAACTAAGTCCAGACTCCAGAATATAGTGAAAATCTACCAATTTCGTCACTTGGCAATTATCACCTCATGATTGCAAACACTATTAATTAGTAAATAGAATTAAATAGGAATATTTACAACAAAGTCATTCATCACTCACTTCGGACTCAGGCATACAAATTCCAGATAGATATGACGATTTTGAACAGCAAAAGTATGGCTTCACATGAATAAACCAGAAATGAACTAAAAACCCCCCATACAGCCATACCCATTTTCAATCCGAACATCATTGAAACTCAAACTCTACTGCTCAATCCCATATAGCAGAATCATAAAAGAAAACTGATAGACGAGCACGAGTAAAAAAGGCAAAATCTTTAGACCCAGAAAGCAAAACTAAAATGTACAGAAATTAATATTGAAGTTACCTGATAAACCCCGAATCAGGACTTGAGGGAAATTTCCAGACATGGGAATTTCTTGTTATCCTCTGTCCTATAAGTTTAAAAGAGAAAACCCAATAGAATCATAGCCCGTTCAGTACAAGATACAATTCAACAACCTCGGTGAGGTCCCAGAAAATGGTGAATTTTTTTGTAAGGAAAATGGTGAATTTTGAGAAGAACGAGAGAGGTTGAAAAGTTGATATCTTGTTTTGGTCCAAATGGATCTAAGATGTTGATGAAGACGATGAGGACTGTGACTTCCAACCAAATCTCCTCTCTGCCCTTTATCTCCTCTCAAGCTAGGAGCTGTGGCGTGCAACTAATTACTTGGGTATCTATCTGCCATCCAAGAAAAAATTTCAATGATTGAAAAAAACTGAATTTCTACTTAATAATTTTTTTTTTAATTTGAAGAAATAATTAAAATTTTATTTTTTTATTTAAAAATAATATTTTTTAATAAAAATAAAAATAAGTATGTGATCCATAATTTTATATTATATTATATTTATTTATTGATTATTTTCATAAAATTAATAATTTTAATAATAAAAATATATAAAATATACTTAATTACTTTAAAACACAATTTTATTATTTATTTATGTTAAATAACAATAATTAACTATCATATAACCAAATGTTTATATTAATTAAAATCTACTATATATAATCTGTTACTTGCATTGTATTATTTATCACTTGTTATCTATTAATTGTTATTTGTTATTCATTATTTATTCTCAATATCCATTATATATTACTTGTTACTTATTAAATTTTAATCGTTATATCAAACATACTCTAAAGATAATTTAATAATTTATTATATTATTTTTGAAATGTTATAGTGATAATGTTATATAATTATAGTTATGATATGTCATTTAATAAATATAATATGTCATTAAAAAATAAATAAATATAATATTCTATATAAATTTTTAAATAAAAAATTAATTATATAATAAAATATATTATAAATTTATAATATCATATAATAATATAAATATATCATTTTTCTTATTATTTTTGTTCATTATTGTTGTTTTTTGTCTAAATTATGACGACCTATTATTGCCCCCTTTGCCGTTTAAGCACTTTCGTTAATCATAATGGATATGATGGAGAGTCCAAACAACTCAACGAATGTAATTGCTGCCGCTAGATACTCAAGATCTCTTTAATTAATTCATACTCAAACAAAACAAACCAAACCGTTTGACCAAGGAAACGTTTTTCAATTTATTCTGTTTTTCACGCTTTTATTGAAATGACTCACATGAAAACTCTTATTAACCTAACAATTCGTTGTTAGCAATAAAAAATAATAATAATAAAAAAACAATTCTTTAAGCTAAAATTAACAAGAATTTTAAAATTTTGAACTTAAATGGTTAGTAATTAATCTTAATACGTACGCATATCACATATCACTTATGCATTTCTTTATAGTGAGATTCTCAATGTCACACTTTAATTTTCATAAGGTTTATCATGACATATTGATGAAATTTTTGAAAATTTATCTGCACTGTAATTATCTTAAGAGATTTTTTTTTTTTGGAAGGTAAAAAATTTATTTATTTAAATTACAAGGGTATTCTAATCTATATGTATCAATTAGACAAATCACATGTTATTAAGGTGGGCTATTTCATTGCTTGATTTTAAGAGAAATGAACATTTTTGCTTTTCTTAATCGACATAAACCCTCCAATTATCCCTTTCTTAAGAGATTATTGAATTGCAAGTTGTTCAACTAATTTTTTAAGGATCTGCTTAAAATTTTACTTTAAATTAATATTTTAAAAATTAACCATTATATTAAAAGCTTATTTATGTAGATATGTGTCTTAATTTTAATCATAGGAATTACATTTGTTGATATATAAAAATTAGTATTAATTTTTATATAATTAATGAATTAGTTAAGGTTCTTAATTTAATTTAAAAATTAATATACATAATTTATATTAGAAGAACTTTCAATTTAACAGTTAATTTTAAAAATATTAATTATATATGATATTTTTGGAGACTTTGCAAAACATTTATCCCATAATTAATTTTTGTTGGATGAACAACGCTTAGCATAGTTGATCTAAGAAATAGGTTTTCTTTGACTTATTCCTATCTATTTTGTATAAAAAAATGAATAACTAAATTTATTTACATTTGCGGTAAAAAAATCATTTATTTACACTTATGGCCAAAAAAATCATTTACATTGAAGGCCAAGAAAAAAAATAATAATAATCATTTACATTTGTGTGAGACTAATGTGCATTTGCTAGCCTAAGGTTTGATCTGCTTGACGACCATGTCTGGGTTTTGGGAAGATCGAACATCGGTTGAAGCTTCTTCCCCTCTCTAGATAAACCTTCACGACCCAAGTTAACAGCAAATCCATCATAAAAATAGAAAGACATAGCATTGATACCCATAACAATCTCATGGATTGCCGAAATGGCCTGCATTGATTCAGGGCAATATCAGTGAATGAGTCCTTCACCACATTGCACCTTGTCAAGCTCATTAGATCAGGAAATACATTTAGCATTGTTTGGATGGAGTAACTATAAGCTGAAGCTTTCCTAAATTCCTTCTCTGAAAGAAACTTTCCACTGCTTATGCATGATCGAGGGGAGTTCTGTCGGTAACAAGTGAACCCTGCAAGAATCTGGTCGAGTTTCAAGTGAATTAGGGCTTTATAACTTAAAACACAAGTAACCCAAATTTCTTACATTTGGTAAATCTCCGATGTGAATGGTATTATCCGTGCATTTTTGGGGTGCATAGCTATAGTTTGTTGCTGCTGAGAAGGGGTCACATATCATTGCAAATGGGAACCATTCGTCTTTTTGTTCATTTAATCCAAGTGTTTGACATACTTTTGTTATTTTCAAGTTTAGCTGCAAGAAAAGAAATACATTGTGTTTATTGATCATCTAACATGTACATGTTAAAGTTACTTAAATGTACTTACCACATAATTTAGTACCTTGGTTATGAAATTATGGACAGTAAAGCCAATTGCACTCAGGATTTTATCAGAGGCTGTTGAATTCATGCAAGGTAGAATTGAGCTAAGATCATTATCTTGGGGGTTTTGCACATAATCTTGAAAAGCTGAACATATATCCTCTGCAACACTGTATAGGGAATATAGATATTGTTTAAGAAACAAAAGAAAAAGAAATAAATGCTTATTCTGCTAAAGAAGAAACAGAAATATTTTTGTCTACTTATTCACCTCTCAATGAAAAAATCGGCACCTGTCAGGATCCAACACACAGCTGTTATGATCCAGCATAAAAAAATTATGCTGAAATACAAAGCAACGAAGTAGATATAAGCAAAAGGG